CTGGCTCGAGTCCTGCTGGGGAGTCTGGGAGTGCCTCGCAAACTGGTAGTGCTCCGGGAGCGTCGGAGACTGAAGAGTCTTCTGCCAGCGGCCAGCCCGGCACGGGAGCTGGTGCATCGGAGTCGGGTGCCGCTGGGCCCAGCTCTGGTGCACCTGGAAACGGGTCTGGCGTACCCAGCACAACTTCAGGGGTTGCAACGGTACCGACGACCACGGACGGCGAACCGAGTACGGTTCCCACTGCCGCGGCGAACCGCCTTGGTAGCGGTGCCCTTGCGGCAGCTGTTCCTTTTGTGGTGATGATGCTTCTTTGATCGGATCGCATATTTTCTTCTCACTCTGAATACCCCTTTATTTTCGACGTAATGCTTCACGACCCTCCTTATTGATAACGACCTCGACAGCGACACAACCACGGATTCCACAACACTCTTTTAACACGGCGGGTTCATGGATAAATGAACGGAACGGAAAACATGATACCCCTTAAGCACTCTTTTGGAAACTGAAACACGATGAATCTGTCGGCGCGCTGTTTGAGGCTTTTGGACAGCCCAAGGCCTTGGAAAGCTTGCCTTGGGCTCGGTCCAGGATTACAGCATCGTTTTGGACCACGGAAAATATTTATGCTTGGATAGAACTGAATTCTCCTCGCCAGGTGATAGCCCTGGCTTGGTGCCCTGATTTAATGGAGATGATTGACGACTGATACTGCCCCCAATGATCACGCGCGGCTTCGAGGAGCATGTTGAAAGCGAGGACCTGCTGTCCTAGCAACTGGGCATTGAACACCCACCATTCAGGCCTTTTCCGTTCTCTTGTCTCACTGAGATGCTGTCAACAAAGCAAATAAGACGACAACACATGTTCGAGTTGATCCTAGACCGAATCCGTCGGATTCACCTCGGATTATGCTCTGTTTTATTGTCGATCACAAAGACGAACAACAAAGCCCCAGGCCGCTCGGAGAAGGCGCCACAAACCACGAGCTGCGCCATATCCTTTGTTGTGCCCAGTGTCTGCGTCTGAATGACATGTCCGAGGAATGGAGCTGTGGCAGATGCTACAGACTTCTTTATAGAAGCTTGCTCGCTGTGACAGGTTCCCACGTCTGATCGTTTGCTGATGACCAACAGTTGAAATCAAAATTCAGAAGTACCAAAGTCATTCCACTGTTGTCGGTTGATGAATCCGCCAAAGTGAACATTTCCGACCGTAGACTCAGACGCCTTAGAGGACAACACAGAACTTGGCCGGTTGACCAGCCCACCATGGCCCACCAGTATTATGCAAGACTATTCCCAAATCGCGATCTGGAATACGCCTACTCCAGCTACGACAAGAACGACAGGCTCCAGCTGGGCAAGAAGGCCACAACCGATCCCAAAGACGAACGCCAGATTCACCGGCCCGAGAGAAAAGATGCAAGCCGCCGCAGAAAGAGCAGCAGCGGTGACCAACCCGTCGACAGCCAGAACATCACCACCACCGAGGCGCAGCTGACGGGGCGAACAGTACCCCGCGCCTACCCGCCCTGCGACGCCTGCGTCACGCGCGGCCGGAGCTGCTCGCAGTACCGGCCCTGCGCATCGTGCCACGGTGCCGGCGACACGTGCACCGACTCGCGCGCCCTGCACGCGCTCGGCAACCTCGAGCCACCGGGCCGAAAGCGCAAGCTCGGCGGCCTCACGGACGAGCAGGGCCGACCCATCAAGCGCGGCCGCATGGAGGTCCTCAAGGGCCCCTGCGCGTCGTGCGCCGCGGCGGGCACGGCGGTGCCGTGCGATGCCGACCACAGGCTGCGCATCGAGTGCACGGCGTGCGCCGACGTGCGCGCCGTCCGCGATCCGGACCACGAATGCGTCGTCGCCGAGACGGCCGTGTACATGCCCAAGCGCAGCCAGTGGACGCGCGCCCCGTACAGCAACATTGCGCAGGTCGTGCGTTGGGGGTGCGAGGGGTGTCGAGGACGGTCGTACCGGCGGTGCGATGTCGACCCGCGCGTTGGCGTCGGCTGCACCGAGTGCGCCGTGCGCGGCCACGAGTGCCGCTTCGTGCCGGACAAAAGGGAGCCGGGAGAACGTCAGACGCTGTGGCGAAGACCGCTGAAGGCCGAGTTTGAGCGCAACCCTGGGC